ATATATATATATATGTCACCGTTGTAAAAATTCCGACTAGGTCCCGATTAATCCCTAGACGCTACCCGTCCGATTAGAGGGCGCCTAGCGATTAATCTTTGCCTATAAATTGAGTGAAGCAGTAGAAAACGATAAAATTTTAATACTTTGAAGAAGTTCTATCTCAATAGAAATCGTTTAAGGAATGATTAGTATTGTAATAATCATATTAACCTATTTTATTATAATATTAGTGATATTTATGAACTTTGTTATGACATTAATCATATTTAATTTTTCAACATCGAATTAGTAATTAATGGTCCCCGATGAATCCTCCGATTAATCCCCGTCTAGCCGATTAATCTTTTATCCCCAGTCCAACGACTAGCTAACTTCGAACGTTACGGCTATACCACAGTTATAACCGCGATTTCAAATAGCGATCTGTGACCGTTAGTAAAATTTTGACCGTGATAACTGTTTAGAGCATGACCCATGACTGGTTTAAACCTTAAAACAGCCCCAACCAAATCTTAGTTCTTGTTTGGTTGCCTCTTAATTGAAAAATTAAGTGGCATGCTCTTTATTTTTCAAATATAGATTGTTTGGTAGCCTCTTAATCTTTTCGGTGACTCTTAAGAATTCAAATATATAGGCATATATTTGAATTAAACCAAAAGACATTTGACTCCAAAGAAACCATAACATGGGATCCCTTTTTTTAGATAAGATACCCATATATATTTTGAGACCTTTGGATATTGACATTTCTTTATGCTTAAATCATATATGGTTTTCTGAGCTGCATGTATGTGTTGTTTTTTAGACTGTTGCTGATGTTTTCATTTGCTGGTGATTTGAATAAGACATGATTTTGGTTTTTGGTTATTGGTTTTTTATGGTTAAAAGTCAACTGTTAAAGTCAAGGTCAACAGTCAAAGGTCTCACAACCGATCGCCACAGTGTGGTTAGGCTTCTGCCACGTCGTGGTAACCTCGCGATGCCGCCCCTCACCACATCGTGGAGGTCCGTCCTCCACGTCGTGGGAGCTGCTCTGGCCAACTTAATTCATTAAGTTCTTAATCCTTTAACTCACCCATCTATACTTTCCAAAAGTCTTTCTTACACCAAAAGAATCATAAAAATTGATGATATATAGATATGCATGTCCTATGAAAGTCTTGAGCTCAAGTTAGGGCACAAATGGTGAAAAAGATGTCAAAACCTTATGCATGAGTTCAAAACTCTACCGAACTTTAGATCTAACATCTCTAACCACAAAGGGACCCTAAAGATCCATAAAATTGCCAATTTTATGGAATCTCAACACTTCAAGTAGTCTAAACATGGAGAAAAATGCATGAAAGTCTAGATCTAGGCACATAGAATCATAAAGCTTGGAGCTTGAATACTCACAGAGGTCCAAAGTATGTGCTAGAAGATGATGATGTGGCTTGCAAGTTGGATCTATGCACCAAAAGCTCTTCCTTCATCTTTAAGACACCAAAAACACCCCACAAGCTCACAAATGTCAAAATGGAGGCTAGGGTTTTCTTGAGGGTGAAAGGAAGGTGATGGATGCTGAGGGTGTGCAAACCCTAGCCTTCATTTCCCTTAAATATGGTCATAAACCCCGAAATTAGGGCTTAGCATAAAATGGTCGTCACGTCATGGCCAATATATTGTCACGTCGTGGTGCACAATCAAACAACGCGTTTCCATCGATTAATGCCACGTCGTGGTACTATTATCACCCGACGTAGCCATCAAATATCCTTTCTTTTAAGCTTGAAATCCATAACAAAAAAAGAAGTATATACCTTGAACTTGGTGTTACATAAGTAGTCCAATCCACAATACAGTTAAAAGTTAAAACTCTTGCATACTATCCCAAAACCAACTTAAGTATGATCTTGGGGCCTGGGGCTCACTGATACTTGTATATAGGCATAGATGTTAGGGTCTTAGGAAGGTTGTGGTCGAGATATGGATTCCTACTGGATCGCACAAGTTTGCTTCCCAAACTGATATTTCTACCATATGTCCGGGTTACAAGAAATCTAGTCCAGAAAATCCAAATGGACACTTACGAATCTAGGCACAAAAATATAAGCCAAATTGCAAATTCTAAGATTGCTTGAGAAGGAGAGTCGAACGGTGTGTCACGACTCAAAGAGAAGAGTCGTATTCATATTTCTCACACCCCCGAACCAGACGGCGGAAACGTCCGAGGGCTCGCGTGACTTAAATTCAAATATCATCACAATGAATATACATGAAACATAACACATTCATCACCAAACATTACATAGTAC